CAGCCAGAGGGAGGGGCCGATGACCCAGGCTGTGCGTCCTTTCCATTCCTGTGAAGACTGAACACTCAGCTAACAATGTCCTGGTCAAGCGAATCCCTTAAGCACTCTCAGCGTGTTCCTGCTAATGACTTTTCTGTCAGCCCACTGGCCTAATGGAGTGTTGGAGAATGCTTTAGGGTGGAGAATAAACTGAAAGGCCTTTGAATCCCATCCTCATCTTCACAACACCATTACGTCTTTTCTGTGTTTCTGAATATTCTCTTTATTTTAAATTTTGTTGCCTTTATTTTTTCCATAATCATCTTCAGTAGCCCAGAAGAAATGCCTAATAAGCTATTAGACTTAAAGCCCAAGCAGCAATAAAAAATTGGTTTATCTTCTGGAGGGTAAGTAGGATTCAAGTTGTAGGTGAAGCTGGATCTTTTTTTTTTTTTCAATTTTATAAAGTTTTTTTTTTTAAAATTTTTTATTTCTTTTCAGCGTAACAGTATTCATTGTTTTTGCACCACACCCAGTGCTCCATGCAATCCGTGCCCTCTCTAATACCCACCACCTGGTTCCCCCAACCTCCCACCCCCCGCCCCTTCAAAACCCTCAGATTGTTTTTCAGAGTCCATAGTCTCTCATGGTTCACCTCCCCTTCCAATTTCCCCCAACTCCCTTCTCCCATATACACTATGGAGTGTTATGCCTCATCAGAAAGGATGAATACCCAACTTTTGTAGCAACATGGATGGGACTGGAAGAGATTATGCTGAGTGAAATAAGTCAAGCAGAGAGAGTTAATTATCAAATGGTTTCTCTTATTTGTGGAGCATAACAAATAGCATGGAGGACATGGGGAGATGGAGAGGAGAAGCTGGATCTTGAGAGGTATTTTCATTGAAGATTAGTCCCTTGGCTTCTTACGTTAGTATGAACAATGACAGCAATAGCCAAAAGGGAAAAAAAAAAAAAGAACCAAAACACAAAGCAAGCTAGATTTCATTTAAGAAAATAGGATGAGGGGGCCGCCTGGGTGGCTCAGTGGGTTAAAGCCTCTGCCTTTGGCTCAGGTCATGATCCCGGGTTCTGGGATCGAGCCCCACATCAGGCTCTCTGCTCAGTGGGGAGCCTGCTTCCTCCTCTCTCTCTGCCTGCCTCTCTGCCTGCCTCTCTGCCTACCTGCGATCTCAATCTGTCAAAAAAAAAAAAAAAAAAAAGGCAGCAAGAAAATAGGATGAGGGGCGCCTGGGTGGTTCAGGCCTTCAGCTCAGGTCATGTGCCTGTGCCTTCAGCTCAGGTCATTATCCCAGGGTCCTGGGATTGAGCCCTGCATCGGGCTCTCTGCTCAGCAGGGAGCCTGCTTCCTCCTCTCTCTCTGCCTGCCTCTTTTCCTGCTTGTGATCGTTGTCTGTCAAATAAATAAATAAAATCTTAAAAAAGGATGAGTTCTAAACTCTGTGGTGTTCTAATGAAGGATACACAGAACAATGGAAAACTATCTGGATAGTCAGTACAATACAAAATAAATTACTAAAGTAAGTAAATTATAACAAATAGACATAAACTCCACTTGCATTCATTGTACATCCACTAGAATCAGTCCTATTCAAAATACCTTATTTAATTGTATTCACTTTCTGTGAATTAATTATTTTTAGACCCATTTTAGAGAGAAGCCCACCACAGGCTTAGAGATGATAACTAACTTGGCCTAATAATAGACGGTTATTGACAAGTGCTTTAAAATTATCGTGTTATGATTGGCATTTTTTTCTTGCTTGTGTTTAGTGCCCTTTCCATTACACACCACTTAAAATGTTGTAGTGGTGTTCAACTATGTTATATTAGACTTTTGCTTCACCCTCTAGGTCTTTCTATACATACATAAATATCTTAAAATATGACATAGGATACCATATTTTCATAAGAATGACATCACCAATGAGCCACAAACTGTGTCAGATATGTTGGTCTCATTCCTGCCTCGTATTCCTTTTTTTCCTACATGCAATAAGGAGTTCTATTCCACTTTTATTGTCCTAATAAACAAGGCTTCTTAATCACAGCATTATTGACATTTTGGCCTCAATAATTCTTTGTTGTGGGAGCTGTCCTGTGCATTGTAGGATGGTTAGCAACATCCCTGGTCTCCGTCTACCAGGGGCCATCAACACCACCCAGCATCACCATCTAAAATGCCTCCATAATCATTGCCAGATATCCCTTGGGAAACAAAATTGTCCCAAGCTCAGAAGGACTCCTTTAAGCTCAATATGAAAATAACTGAATAAAAGTATAGGCCCTCTGCTCAACTTCTTTTCTGGCATTAGGGACTTTAAGGAATTAATTATGTAGGCATTGTATTAAAACCGGTCAGATTACCCTGTGGGAACAAACAGTGGCTTAATACAATGAGTCATCGGCTCTCCAGGGCAGCTGGCCTCCAGAGGTAGCTCACCATTCTAAGCTACTTCAGTCTTCTAGCAGCTCAGCATCCACATGTGTTTTTGTGATCATCGTGGCAGGGAGAGACAGAGCATAGAGCATTGTGAGCGAGGTCTTAAATCTGTCCCTCTGGAAGGGACACATGTCTATTGACGTAAGTCAGAGAGCATTTTCAGGCAGAGAAGTAGTTTAGTCCTTCATGCTGGGAATACTGGTGAAGATCAAGTGATGTTTACCATCATCATCATTTCTGAATGTTTTATATTGAACCTAGTAAAGTTCTAGATGACATGATTGAAAAAAAGTTGAAACAAGAGTATTACTTCTGGAGGAACCCATTAGTTCTGGAGAGGATGTACACATGTGAAGTAGTGAACAAGACAATATATACCACATGTAACAAGTTGTAATAATGTGCATTACATTTATATGTTATTTGGAAAATATTTACATTTTTGTGGTGTTTGTGTGGTATGTCTCTTGGGTTCCGGGACCCAATTTCAACATGTGTGGGGTGAGGGTATTTCCCCATTCATCCAACTAATTTTCTGGACACCAACAGTTCAGATTAATTCTGACACTATCCACCTGGAGATAACATTAGCTTCTGCAAGGTAAGAATTCAGTCCTATAGGTCCTATAGTCCTATAGGATGCTCCTCCACTCTTCACTTCAGATGCCATGTGCAAACAAAGTTGTTACCGTGCTTATGATGGACTGGCTATAAATCAGAGGTACTATGACCCTTTCCTATTTTGGGTTTGATTAATTTGCTAGAACAGTTCATAGAGCTCAGGAAACATTTTACTTGATTACTGGCTTATTTTAAGAAGGTATAATTCAAGAACAGCCAGATGGCATAGATGCACTGGGCAAGGAACGGCGGGGAATTGCATAGAGATTTTATACCCTCTCAGGGAGCCCCACTCTTCCTGTATTGCCAACCTGGAAGCTCTTGGAATCCTGACCTTTTGGGTTTTATGGAAGCTTCATTACATAGGGATGATTGATTAAATCATTGGCCATTGGTGATTGGTTCAACCTCCAGCTCTCTTTCCTCCTGGAAGCCAAGGGGTGGGACTGAAAGTTCTGTCCTCTAGTCACAAAGTTGGTTCCCCTGGCAACCAGCCCATCAGATAGGTACCATCCAGATTACTCACAAATGTGTAACAAAAGACACCTTTAAGCCTCTTATCACTCAGGAAACTGTGCTGGAAACTGGATGAAGACCAAATACATATTTCTTTTATTTTTATTTTTATTTTTTTTAAAAGATTTTATTTATTTATTTGACAGAGAGAAATCACAAATAGGCAGAGAGGCAGGCAGAGAGAGAGGAGGAAGCAGGCTCCCTGTTGAGCAGAAAGCCCGATGTGGGGCTCGAACCCAGGACCTGGGATCATGACCTGAGCCGAAGGCAGCGGCTTAACCCACTGAGCCACCCAGGCGCCCCCAAATACATATTTCTTATTATAAATCATCACAGTATGTCTGTCTATTTTTTTTTCTTAATGTCCATTAAAATTTTATAAATCTTTCTGGTTAAATGTATTCCTAGATGTTCTATAATTTTGTTTTTATATTTGAATGAGAGTCACCTCCACTTCTCCATTTGTACCTGGCTATTGCGAATACAGAGAAAAGCTGTTTGATTTTTGTATATTTTCCCTCATCCAGGTATCTTAATACTTTTAATACTTTGCATAGCTTTTGTAATCAAATCTTTTAGGGAGTGGTTCTCAGGTCCTCAGGGTGCACTGAACTAGCAGCATCAGTATTGCCTAAGAACTTGTTAGAAATCTAAATTCCTGGACTCTCTACCCAGATCTACTGACTCAGAAATTTTGATGGTGGGGTCCAGCCTTTGGGATATTAGATATAGAAATATACTTGAAAAAATATCGACATTTTCTTTCTTTTTTTTTTTTTTTTCAGACAGTTCTATTTCTTCTTAACTTGGAGCATTAGATGAAATATATAGGACAGTGTTGGGCACTAATGTATATAAGCTTAACTTTGATTTTGTTTAAAAGGAGATTGTTAGCTTCTGGTGTTTAAAAGTTCTCCTACTTTTGAAATTTGAAATGTAGAGTTTGAAATTTTTATGTAGAGTTTCAAACAGGAATAATGGCCTATTTTTGCAAATGTTTTCCAGAATTTACTGATCTAATCACTGGAGTTTTGCCTTTAACTTGTTAGTGTTTGAAATATGTTGATGAGTTTCCTAATGTTGAACCACATATACATTCAAGGAATAAATACATCTTAGTGGGCTTATTTTAATATGTTACAAGATTTAGCTTGCTAATGCTTATTTCCTAGCATTTTGGTTAATAGGATTATTTATTTCCCTAAAAATGACAGCCCCAGTATTTTTTTCTTTCAATAATATTGTTATTATATCAATAATATTGTTACACCATCTAATATTATTACTGCAGCTTTTCCTGTGCCAGATTTAAAGGTTAATTGCATTTTATTACTAAATTTTATTACATTTTCTGCAGCTTTTCATATCTCAAGCCATGACAGTAACAATAATAATAGTTGCTTCTATATATTCTCATTAGAATTCTACCAAATATCTGGCTGGGTAGCTGCCCTCGTCAAGTAGAACATATAACCATCAAACTGAAGCATGAATTGGGGATTACAGCTGTGATGAATTTCCAGACTGAATGGGATATTATACAGAATTCCTCAGGCTGTAACCGCTACCCAGAACCCATGACACCAGACACCATGATTAAGCTCTATAGGGAAGAAGGCTTGGTCTACATCTGGATGCCGACACCAGATATGAGCACTGAAGGTAAGCATCGGAAGAATCTTTCTGGCTTCTTGCTGAATGTGTTTCAGAGACGCCCTTGCTGTCTGTCCATCTGTCTCCCTATCTACTTACCTACATACCTTTCTGTGTATCATTGAATGACTTAATCATGAATGGTGGAAATGGAATCAATATAAGGTTTTAATTTAACATATTTAATGTATTTTGGCACCTTGGCTAAGATTCTGTTTAACATGGCTCCTTTATTTATTGAACATGTGTTTATTGTGTATTTAAGGTATGTGTGGCATTATGCTGGCAGCTAGGAATACAGTGCTGAGGCAAAGCAGGTATAGCTCTTGTCCCCATGGAGCTTCCAGTCATAAAGAGAAGACATGCATCATCAAATGACCATAAATAGAGATTTACAACTATGATGACATTTTTGTCAGGAAGATACTGCTATGAGAGCATGTACAGGCAAGTAAGATGTAGGAAGAGAGTCAGGGAAGGTTTGCTTGGGTATGTTTGACCTAAGTCTGAAGGCTAGTGAGGGTGAGGTGGGAGAGAGGATCCCAGCAAGAGGGCCACCAGCTTGGGACATCTCTGTGGCAGGAGAACGTAGAGTGTCACAGGAGGTAAAAGTTGGCACTGTGGACAAGGGATGGGAAATGGGCACAATGTGGATCTGGGGACCCCCGTTAGGGGATCACTATAGTGGTTGAAGTGGCAGATCATGAGCGATGACCCAGCTGGGGGCTGGGTGGGAATAGCAAGGCTGTAGTTCCAGCACAAGTACTGGTGGAGTGAGCATGTCTTTGTGAAGATAGGTTATGACATGGGTGCTACTGGGGAAACAGGAGACGAATAAGGCAGAGTTTTGATCTCATAGCAATAGGTGGTAGGAGAAGTTCAAAACTAATTACAATACAGAGAAGAATGTGATGTGAGGAAGGAGTCAGGTGCTCCTGGTGGCTTATGGGGTGTCGGGGGGCAGCAGAGGGAGGCTGTATTTGTGTCATGGCATTTGAAGTGGCCTGGTTTTGACAGGTCAATGGGGAGGGAGGAAGAGTATGCCAGATGGAGGAAACAGCATCAGTGTAGCCCCAAGGCATGGGGTTTTACAGGAATGCTCTGTGTTTCAGCTTGGTGGTGGAGTAGGGTGCTTGAGGGGGTTGGGGGGGGGATGGAGGAGGTATGGGACGCTGAGAACCGTTTCACTACCAGTCACTACCAGTATCAACAAGATGTCAGCAGGGGGCAGCAGAGAGCTGTGGGAATGGCACAGGCCGCGGGAGTTTGGGGAATTGCTGTTCTGCGGGAAAGGAGGAAAGCAGTTGTGCCTAGTCAGAAAAGACTCTACCATCTCCTGCCCCCAAAGTACATAATGTATCAGACACTCTCTTAAGCGATTTCATGCCTTGCCTCATTTAATTCTGACAAGACTCCAGGCAGATGCAGTTATCTCCATTTTGCAGAGGAAAAGACAGGTACAAAAATGTGAAGTAATGTGGCCATAGGAAAAGAGACACAGCCTGGATTTCAACACAGGCAGTTAGACTCAGACCACGGCTGCAGACACCGTGCGGTGACTCCTGTCCCTGCATGCCCCCTCGGGCTCTGCATGCACGTTCCACAGACCAGCGCCCTTGCAGTCCCTGGTAGTCATGATCACCTGGACTTAGACAAGTTGTGAGTGGGCAGGGAGGTGGCTTGTTTCCCCAGAGTCAACAGTCCAGGATGTGGGTGGGGACAGAAGAAAGATCTCAAGGATCCTAGGGAGCTGGACGTAGGCCACCTTGACTATGAATCTCAAGTGGTTCCCAGGCTGGACTGAACCATCACTAGGGAAGAGGTATAATTTTTACTTTTATTTTAATTTTTTTTCCTGAGGGAAGAAATACTCCTCTTGGTAACAGTGGTCCAAAGAAACTTGATGTAGCTGTAAGAGCTTTGCTCGTTTTCAAGGAAAAAAAAACAAACAAACTTCACTTGCACAGAAGATCATTGGTTGAATCTAGGCCCACTGTAGTTGTGTTAGGGTCTTTTTGGGGTCCCTCTGCAGCATAACCGTGGAGCACTTTCCACACTGAGGCAGTTGGGCAACACTCGTGGCAGTGGAAGGAGAGTTCCCGTGTAGCTGTGTGATATCGAGCGACTAGTTCCTGCATTTGGAAAATGGGGTAATCATTTCTGCCTTATGGGATCAAAACAATAGAGAAAGATGATAGATATGAAAGCGCTTTGTTTCTCTGGTTTCAAAACAGAAGATTGTTAGGTTCACCTGCCTATAGCTTCCAGAGAACGTTCTGATTCTTGCTTCCTTACTTCAGGTTTTATAGCATTGTTGCCCATTGGAGTATAAGGTGAGACAAAGCTTAGTGTAGCTCACCTGCATCCCGTCCCATCCCTGCACTGATTATCTGGGGGCCCTGGTGACCAATAGGTATTTGCCTGCTAGTTTGGGGTATGCAAAAACCTGAGGGAAAATCCCATCCCAAAAGGTACACAGTAGTTTGTTAAAACCCAGGGTCACCAGGTCCCATCCCAGTCACAAAAGCAGAGCACCTCCCACACGGAGGTCCTCTGGCAACAACCAGGACAGCAGAAGGAGCGTTTCCAGCTGCAAAAGGCCAAACGCTGAGGCTAAATGAAGGCTTTCTTTGGTTCAGCAGGACCTGGGGAGTAATCAAAGGGTTAACAACCAGGGAAGTTCTGACCACTGGATTAATCTGGGTGGCTGAAAGTATTAGCACAATGAACATATAGATTAATTCAGCTATTTTTGGAACGCTAGAGAAAAATCCATCTGGAAGTGTTTTGAGGTGTAACATAATGCTGTCAGATAAAGTCTGAGAAAGAAGACAGTGTGTTAGGCCTGTCACCACCAGTTGTCACAGACCTGTTACACTCAATTGTACTATCGATCCTTACTCTGGTACATTTTGTCACATGCTGAGGAGTTAGGTTTTTTTCTTTCCTTTTTTTTTTTTTTTTAATTTTGGTTTGTACCTTTCACCCGAGACAAATCGGGCACTCACCTGAAAAAAACCAAATGTGTCCATTAAAATTCCATTTTCCTTCATAGGAAGCACTCAGACTGTGTTTCAACCTCTGTCAGGGCAGTGCTGGTGATAACATAGGGTCTGCCCTTGCCTCCCAAGTGAGGGCATGTGCTTCCCAGAGTCCTCGGCTACCCCTCTGCTGTCACCCTCCGTTTTCTGACTCAACACCGCGTGCAGCTCTGCCGTGATGCCGACACTGACCTTGGAGCCTCGGCATGTGGGCTTGAGCCTGGATGCCACCGCCTACCTGTGTGATAGCGAGAGGGCTATTTCCTGCACTTGGAAAATGGGGTAATCATTTCTGCCTTGCAGGATTATAACAATAGAATAAGATGATTGATATGTAAGGGCTTGGAAAATCACCAAGTTGGGACTATATTTTTAGTCCCAACTTCTTAAGTTTCTACTGAAGGTTGTACTAGATAATATGGATTTTATCTATATTACATTGCAAAGGTGGAAAAGAAGATACGCTCAAATAAAATAATAATACATTCAGCCATAAATCTGCCTGGAGTGAAAAAAGAAGGGTGTGCGTGCGTGCGTGTGTGTGTGTGTCTCTCTCACACACACACACACACACGCACACATGTTACTCTTGGAAAGGCTGAAAGTCACTCCAGAAATAATGCCTTTCAAGGTCAACCTTAGGTAAAGGGCATCTTCAGGGCCTTTTCCACTCCTCTCCATGATTTCAGGCCCTAATGCCACAGGCTGTCCCCAGCATGTCCATATCCCTCTTCTCCCAACCTTTGTTTGCTCAGTACATGCTTTCAGGAAGCTTTTAATCATTCCAGAGTTGGATTAGCCTGGAGAAGGTGTGGGCCACAAGTTAGATTAGAAGAGTCCCGTAGTGTCTCAGATCTAATGAGTATTACTGGATTTTAGTTCATTTTATTTTTTATTCATGAATTTAATGAATGCTTATTGAGCATCTACTGAGAGCCAAGGCCTGTTTTATATTTCAAAATAAGAATCACAAACAGTGAAATGTTTTGTTATACCTGGACAGGGTTTAAAATTTTCAACTTAGCTGTCAAAACAGTTAGAATTTGGAATATTTTATATAAAAATTCTGGATTTCTCTCTTGCCTTTAGGTATTATCATTTTTACGAATGGAAACTTTTTGTCTAATTAAGGTCTGGATGGAGCCTAAATATATGAAATATAAAAAATTAGGGGTTCGGGGCACCTGGGTGGCTCAGTGGGCTGGGACCTCTGCCTTCGGCTCAGGTCATGATCTCGGGGTCCTGGGATCGAGCCGCACATCGGGCTCTCTGCTCGACAGGGAGCCTGCTTCCCCCCCCCCTCTCTCTGCCTGCCTCTCTGCCTACTTGTGATCTGTCAAATAAATAAATAAAATCTTAAAAAAAATTAGGGGCTCTTGTTGATGTTGTGCAAGCTCTGGGTCTGGGCACCCTCTATTTATTCCTTGGTGGGTTGTGTGTTAGCTCAGCCTCCCTAGAATGGTTTTCTAGCAGAGGCACATGACCTGTTGGGCACAGGGAGCCCCTCTAGGGTAGGGGAGAGGAACTAACACCCAGGAAGTTGTTGCTCTCACCTGGGCTAACAGCAACCGTGTGACAGGGTAGGTAGGGGATAGAGACTGACTAAGAACTCAGACTGAGAGCATGGCGGCCTGCAAGTGCCCCTGGCCAGGCAGGTCAGGGAAGAGCACTAGTGCAGTGGTAAAGACCAGAGGCTTTGGAGTTGCACCTGCTGGGTTTCATTGGCCACTGGGGAATAAGCTTGGGGAGGTCTCCTTGCCTCAGTTCCCTCAGATATAAACTGAGGATAAAAATAGTACCAACCTCATAGTTGTTAAAAGGTGATTGCCAATTAACTATTGCCTGCACAGTGCTCAGAACAGCACTTGGCAGGTATAAAGGGCTTAGTAAATGTGAGCTGTCATCAATTAACACAGAGTGATTTGTAGTCCCTAGAAATCAAAATAAGCAAGAGCTCCAGTGGAGGCC